TACCCAATCTGTTCGAATTATCGCCCTCTATTTCACCAATTTTCCTCTTAGCCTCTTCAATCTCTTTCTCAAGCTTCGAGGAGTGCTTAACAAGCACACTGCCAAAGTCAGGAACCTCATATGAATGCACATTGCTATTTGAAGCTTTACACTTGCTTTTTAACAACACTTCGGAGTTGTTCTTGGCCTCTTCAATTTCCTTTTCAAATTTTGAAGAAGGCTTTTTGAGAATACTTGCCAGATCATGGCCTGAATCATGAACCACTTTATTGCCAGATTTATCTCGCGTTTGTTCACTTTTTTCAGCAGCTTCACTCCTAGCATTTTTGGCTTCTAATACCTCCCTTTCGAGTCTTGTTAACCGCTTCACCAGAAACTTATCCAGGCTCGGAAGTTCCTCATTTGTCCTGCTTGTCTTCCCATCCAAATTATATCCCTCAACTGCTCCTTCTCCAATGGATAATTCTGATTTGTCATTAGCAGCGGACCCTGAAACATGCGGTTTGCTCTTTTCTGCTTCAGCTAGAGCAGCGTTCAACCCACAAGTTGCAACTATAGTGGCAAGAGATGCAAGTTCATCTTCTTGCAAACATCTAAGTCTTTCCAGCATCATTTCCTCAAGATTTGGCATATTAAACTTTTCACATGCTTGCCTCTTTTTATATTTCCTTTGCACAGATTTTGTCTCTGAATCTGTGACCTCAGAACAAAGGGTGACCTCAGAACAAAGGCTCTCAAATTCAGAAGCCGTATCTGATTCACATTCTGAAGAGAACTCGGACAGTTCTTGATGATTATCGTCTGTTTCAGGGTTCTGACTTATTCTGAGCAGCAGTTCCTTGACTTCATCTTTATTCATGGAAGGGCAATTAGCAAGCTTAAGAAGGGCAGCCTTAAGTGCAGTTGCTACTTGTTTATCCACCTCAAATGCAGTTTCAAAAGATGTTCCAACTGTATGAGTTGTAGGTCCTCCTCCTTTTGCCGGTGACTTTTCTATTTTGTAATGCTTCTGTGAGCAATCAGGAATGTCATACAAGATTACTCCAATAGCTGTTGCAGCTTCAAAAGCTTCTGCAGAAAATCTTTCTGCCTTTATCAGCAGTTGTTCTGCTTCTTTACAATCAATCCTGGATGGCAGATACGGAAAAGGTAAGTTCTGTTTCAATCATTCAACAATGTCTCTATCACAAACAAGTTAGGATTGGCTATATAAATTTTATGTATCCAATTTGCACATTTCACTCCAATACCAAATAATTAGCAAATCAATTTACTTAAAATTCAAACTTCTTCTTATACAGATATACAAATCTCTAACCAGAATAAAATACGATGAGGAGTAGCTAATTCAAACAACAACAACAAACCCAATGTAATCTCATGAGTGGAGTCTGCGTATACTATCTTGAGAAGGTGGAGAAGGTTGTTTCCAATAGACCCTCGGCACAAGGAAAGATGCAAAAAGAAGCAGTAGCAACCGACCATAACATCAACAGGATAACAAGAAAACTTAAGCGAAGGAAACAACATGCAGTAATAGAAAATCTCGAAAAATAAGAAGTACAAGACTAATCCTAATACTACTGTGTTGGACAAGGAAAACACACGATTACCTACTAACCAAAAACACTACTAACCCCTCCGGTAAAATAAGAATAGCCCCCATGTTCTAACCCCCCTTTTCTCCCATTAGCAAGAACCTGTTTCAGTAGCATATCCTTAAGGAATTGAAACAACTGCTTCAGATATAGTATCAGGAAGAACCGTTTTTGGAGCCTCAATCTCCAGATCTAACGTAAGTGTAACAACAACTACGCGTATGTGAATATTAAAAAGCTCACCTTGCTGCTTGAAGTATTCGGCACCATGATGCTTCAATCAGTGCAGCCTTCCGAGCTTCCACAGCTCTTTGAGCAGCTTCCCTTACTGCAATTTTTTCTCTCAATACTCTAGAGTAGTGAGGATTAGCATCCCCTAAAGTCTCATCAAGGGTTGAGTTCATTCCATCCACTTCCTGAAAATTTCGTAACAGGCCAAAAACACCATCAGTACCCTTCTGTATATTGACGATTAAAAAAAAAGAATGCACAAGCATATAAATATACCTGGAGCATTTTTATTTTCCTCTTCAAATACGAATCCACTTTCTTGCGAGGGAACCAATTTATAGGCGAAGTTTTGCGATGAGGGGGCTTTCTAATTTGTGATGCAGATTTGTTTAAAGAAACTAAATTTGACTGGCCACCTTCTTTCGTTGCCTTAGTCTGCACAATTCCAAAACAACAAAATGAAAAACCAAAACTGAACAAACACCAAACAAAGCGAACATCTGAGAAAAACTTTCAATGCAACTAGATTCGACAGGCAACCTTCTTTGATTGCCTTATTTTGCACTACCCGAAAGCAAGAAAATGAAAATACCAAAGTTGTAAATATACCAATCAAAGTGATCATTTATGTGATTTTGTTTAAAAGTAATTAAATTTGACCGGCCACTTTCTTTCGTTGCCTTAATCTGCACTATGCAAAAAAAACAAAACTAAAAACCAAAATTGGAAAACACCAACCTAAGTGAAAATCTAAAAAAAAATTCAAAGCAAATATTCTCATTTGGTCGCTTACTTTGATAGCCTTGTTGTGCACTCCTCAAAAACAAGAATATAAATGAACAACGGAAATACACCTTTAAAGTGAAGACTTGATATATCATACTATATACCTAAACTTACATAATTACATTTTCATGAAGCCTACTTAACAACTGACTTCTTTCCCACTCATAATCGATCACACCGAAGAGTTAAGTTTCGTCATTACCGTTATACCCACATACAAAATCACATTTTTTAACCAAGTGGCTAACGATAG